GTACTGCCTTTGTTTTAACTTTTAACCCTGATGGTGTTGAATAAGGCAACAGTATAAATATCCCAGAGATAAAGTAAAATGCCACTGTCACAGCTGTGGATTCTTGTAGTATGTGTTGATTTGTGTTCCATGGAGAGAACTATGTTTTCAGATGTTTTCATGGCTTTTGTTAACATGTAGGAAGGCCATTTTCACCTCTATTCCAGAATGCTGGCTGTCATATCCAAACCCTCCTTGCAACATTATCAAAACCATCATGAAAACCATTAAAAGCATTAGCACATTCAATATCTGCATTCAAGCTACAAGGGTTGACCTGACTGCTATTCCTAATATTCTGGAGGCCTGCTAATGTTTTCATACTGGACCAGGCAGAACCAAGATGGTTAGCAGCCAAAATAATACATCTGCCAATTTATCCAAAGCATTACTGTTTAAACATGTCCCAGTCCATACATTCAATGCATTTCTGCGAGCTGAGCACCGATTCTTCTCTCCAGTTATTAATGTCCAGAGTTTTCTCTCTCTTCAGCAGAGTTTTATATATGGGCAATAAATGCATGCAGCTGTGATTCACTGAGCCTTGTGGAGGTAGTGGGAGTGATATTTTTATTACACCTTATTCAAAAGACATTGAGGAAGTTTTTGTTTCTAGGAACTGGCATAATGCTGCGTAAATTATGGTGTTTTTATGAAGTGATATTTGTCTTAGCTTTTACTTTGACGATTGTCTCGGAGGGAAGGAAGCTTTGAAGCTGTATTTACCTTCCAAAAAGTTTGCCGTATATCCCAGACAGCTGCAGTTATGATGCAGTATCACACTTCCAATAGCACCAACTGCCTGATAAATATCCACTAATTATAATGGTAACATTTTAATTGAAGGGGCAAAAATAATATAGTATTATACCATTATTTATGTATTAGTTAACCACAAACTAAAATGTTACATACTAATCTGATGTTAATATATCATTATTGAATAATGGCCCATATTTTATCTAAAGCCGTCAGCATGTCAATTCTGTAAACCTTTGTGAACTACTGAAGGAACTACTAAATAACTACCAAGGAACTACTAAGGAACTACTAAGTAACTACAGAAGGAATAGCTGCAAGAACTACTGAAGAAATTACTGAAAGAACAAATCATGAATAACACAAGTGAAATACTGATCCTGTTTGGCCATCAAGAATCGTAGCACATCTATTATCTGGAGTACCAACTATATTACTTCATGATTTATTTATGATTTATACATCAGTAGTAACTGAGTTATTACTAAATATTTTAAAATCAACCAATCACATATTTATCAATCAAAACAAAAAAAATGCAGTGATTATAACTGAATCTCACTGAAACATGAAAGAGCATGGTACTGACAGAACATTAAGCATTATAGTGACTAAATAACATTATCATAATTCTGGAATAAAAATAAGGAGTAATTCAGAATTACATTGCACATCCTTTCGATGTACTGTACCATCATCTGTTACCTTGGCTTAATACAGTTTCCGTGGAACTTGTCATCATATCAGTAGTCAAAATTGCAGGCTGTGCTTCTGTAATCCCTGTAGAGCTTATATTTCTAGTTCTGACTGACATTATAATGGAATTGACACTGGTTGATGAGTATTCAGCAACTTCCTTTTGTGTGGTTGGTTTTCTTGTAATCGTGACGGTGTTGGTCAAAGGCTGTGAAGTCAAGTTATCAGTAAAGTTGAATGGAGTCACACCTGCAGTATCTGTTTATTTAGTCGTTGAGTTTCCTGGAAAGGTCTTTTCAGTACTTGTGGAACTGATGAATTCAGGTTTTGAGTTCTCAGCCGCATTTGCTTGGGTAGATGAGATTATTAATGTAGTACTAATGCTACTGGATGAAGTTCCATTTGCGGGCTGTGTTGTAGAATTCTTTGTAGTGGTGAGAGAGTTTGTAGTTGTCACTGCTGTGGATTTTCAGTATGAGAGAAGAGGTTATTATAATCATGTTTTGTATACCATAATACATGTTGTGATTTCCGAGCCGAGTGGAGAATAACTCCACATCAATTCAAGGCTAGTTTAATATAAGAATCAGACTTTTTTTGTCTGGGCAATGGATTTGAATGTGATATGTAATGGTAAACAGACAGATTTTTCAGCATTTCAAATCAAATATTATGCGCAGGGGGGTAGATGGATATTATGGGCCCCTGACAAAATGTTACCTTGAGTCCCCCCCCCCCTACCCAAACCAAAGATTCATACTCTTACAGTATGAATTCAATTCCCCCTCTAAGGTTCTGGGCACCCTGTTTCTGACAGGGTGTCCATGAGCCTACTGCACCGCTGACTGTGTGCAAACATGTTTTTTAAGGATAGTTCACAATACGTGACACTTTCATCCAGGCAGCAACAAGTTATAAAGTGCTTGATTTTTTAAGACACATTTCAACGCTTTTTGTGATTTTGAAATGAAACTGGGGACTTATTTGAATATAATTTGCGTATTCTTTTGAAGTAGCATCGTCCGTTACCTGTGCTTTGTCCATTTTTCGTGGAACCCGTCATCATATCAGTAGTCGAACTTGTAGGCTGTGCTTCTGCAATCCCTGTGGAACTTATATTTCTAGTTGACATTAGTTCTGACTGTGATATTACACTGGAATTGAGGTCAGTTAATAGAGTCTGTGTATCGTTAATTGTTGAGTTTTCTGCGAAGATGAATTCAGTACTTGTGGAATTTATCAGCTCAATAGTTAAGTTCTCAGCTGTTTCAATGGTTGAGTTTATTAATGCAGCATCAGTGTATGCTGAATCTGAATCTCCATTCGTGGTCTTTGCTTGAGTACCAGCATTCTTTGTAGTAGTGGGAGAGGTTGTAGTTTTCACTGCTGTGGGTAATAAGTGTGACAGGCTACTTAAACTATCCTGTGCAGAAATCCACATCACTTCTATACTAGTTTTACCATAATAATAATAACACATCTTCTTAACAATACATTTAAACGTGAAAAGTAGCAGATACTTCGTAAATGGCTTCTTTAGGTTCAATTGGTATGCCATACCATTCATTCCATTAAATAAAATTCTATGTATAAATAAATTCTACAATTAAAGTTCAAAATATACAGTTCTTTCCTTCAGACAGCTACAAATAAATGTGTTAAAACTGTTTTTTTTAGACAAACTTCATTAGGACATTATAATACAGGAATGAAATTGTGAGAATCATTCATAAGTATATTGTCATGATATCGCTAATACAAGGTGGAAATGCGTTTGGTCCCTGCTTACCCGGAATGACCTTGATGTACCAGTATGCCCCCTGCGGCTCCCTCCTCACCCCACACCAGTATGTGCCTGAGTCTTTCATCCACAGCTGCTTCATGGTCACTGTAAAAACCTGCTGAGATTGGTTGTCAGTGATCGAGATCCCTCCTGGATTTTTGAAGTCAGAACGAACTACGTATTTGCAGATAATCCATATTCTCTTACAGCAGAATTTCACTTTTTCTTTGTATTTCAAATTGTATTTGAATGAGAAACTGACAGATCCTCCTATCACTGCAGTCAAGTGTTTGTCATCCAACATCTTCTGAGGACCTGCATGGGGGACACATGGGAATTTTATTACTGTATGACAATATGATGATCATTTCATGGTTGAATTACTTACCGAATGATAATAATAATAATTACCATTCTTATTATATTTATTATTATGATTAAAGTGT